GAGTTATTTAAGAAGCTTTTTGGCAGGCATTTCAATGCATTTCTTGAAAGATTTGTTGTAAATCATATTTCTCAGACTACTGCTCTTTTTACCATCTGTCAAACTGGCTCACCTTAGAATCAAAATATGACATTTAAACTTAAAGAGAGACACTTAATTCATATTTTTAATTAAATTTTCTTGGCAGAAATTGATTTTAATCTTGGGAATTTTAACATTCGAACCCAGTATACATCAAGAGTCCTGTGAATTTTTTCCAACAATGGGCATAAACTGATGAGGAATTTATTCGCCTTACTAACTTAACCTATTTCTAATGATATCATTTATTTACTTTATTAGAAGCTAAAGAATTAAATTTATGCTTACCTCTGTCTTATCAGAAATATAAGGCTCAACATTCTACACTAGAATAAATTACAGGTAGATTAGTGAATGACATGCAAATTCCGAAACCTTTAATACAAAGAAGACATATCAAAGATGTTTATTAGTCAGGTATGGCGCACACAGCTGTGATTCCAGCACTCCAGGGGGCTGAGGCAGGAGGTTTACAAGTTCAAGCTCAGCCTGGGCAGTTTAGTGATATAGTGAGACCTTGTTTAAAAAATTGGGCCAGGGATTTAGCTCAGTGACACCATGCCTGCTTGTTGATTGTTGGCAAGCACAAAGTCCTGAGTTTGATTCCCGGTACTGGAAAAAAAAAAAAAAGAAAGATGAAAGGAAGGAAGGGGAAAAGGCCCAGGGTTCAGTCTCTAGTACCACAAAAAAAAACAACTATTGATGTGTTATCTTTGGTAGGATTATGTATGATTTCCCCCTCTTTTTCTTCTGTGTATTTATTTACCTATCTTTTACAATAACTGTGTCTTGCTCTGTTTTTTTTAAACACAGGTATAACCATGAGTAAGTTTTTCAGTGAAGTATAAATCCTATTCAAATACTCATATATAAAAAGGCACAATGTCTTCTTTCTTCTGTAGCAAACTCCTAAATTATTTGCACATTGCTTTCTTTGTCAGTAAAGGCAAATTACACAACAAATACTTTATTTCTGAATATTAACTTCTATAAATGACAAAACATTAACCTTAACAAGCAGTTATTGAACATGGTTGCTTTTTACAAAACTAACTTAACAGAAGTGTACAATCTGCAATATTAGAACACTATATCAAGTTTTTAAAACTTGGTGCCAAATTAAATAAAACAACAGAAATTTTAAATCTAAATATTGCCAAGAGAATCTATTTTAAATGCAATATATTTTTTCTTGGATATTTGCATAAACATATCATTCATACTCCTATAGAAAGAGAACAGTTTAAGTATGATTTTACTTAAAATTTATTTTTAAATAAAAGTAAAAACATTTTGGAATCAGGTAGACATTGGTTCAAATTCCAGTTCTGCTGTTTATTTTTTCGGTATAACCCCTTATAAGTGGTCAGTGTTCAGAAATAAAGTATTTCCTTTGCATAACATTGCTACCCAACTCTCAGCAAAAGAGTTTTGATGAGCTTAACACTCTCTCTGCTCTGAGGATAAACTGATTGATGCCCAGCAGGGGCTTCCATACTTCTGGATACAATATCAGTCCCATCAGAACTAAGCCCAGAAACATATTTGACAACCAAAGGAAGACGTGTCCTCCCTCCTGCTGACATAACAAGGAATCATATAACTCCAGAACTATTGCATCTACCTTGGAACAAGAAAGGAAGTCTGCCCTATAATGCAGTTACTACAGTGGATGCCAGAACAGAGAGAGGAAAAAGACAAAAGACCCTTGATGCCATCAAGCCTTATCCAAACCCTGAATTGCCTCAGAACTTTTTAGGTGTCAGGATGAATCCCCTTTATTGTTTAAGTCAGTATGAATTGGGTTTTCTATTGCTTTTTCACCAAAACATTCCTAATGAATGGTGCTGACACTACAATCCATCATCATACTTGAGTTACTTTCAGTTCTTTCAAACACATGCACTTTGACTTCCAAATATAGATTAATGAAGCCCAAAGTGTATTGAGCATAGACATCAGAAACAGCATGATCCATATCCTTACTAGAATGACTGGAGAACTACATTACCATCTGCAGCATCTAGGAAAATCTTCAAAAACTGAGACTATTCCAGATTTCCAGCGATTGAAGAGTGCCATCCCTCAGACACTACAATGACTTGTAGACACCTGTCATTTTGGAGCATGTGCCAGACAAATGGGTGGCTGTTGCACTCTGAGACCCAAGGTGGTCTCAGAACTATGTGCTGAGCCATTGGGTTGGGCACCACTGAGAAGCAGTGTGAAGGCATTTCCCAGGGGTCTGACGCCTGGTGTATGTGAAACACGGGGATGGGAAAGCCCCTGCTGAGTCAAAGTTAGTGTCTCACCTCCTGATGTGGTGATAAGGATGAGGAAGTGTGAGTTCCTCTGAGTGTGTGTGACACTGTTCCAACCAGGGTAGCTGAGTTAACTGGAGAGGGTTTCTTTCAATGACATCGGAAAGAGCAGAATGGAGAAATACTTTTCAGAGGAGCACGACTTTCTCTCCCTCTCCAATTACAATTCTCACATCACTACACTTGAACAGGTAGAGAAGCCTCCAAGAAATGATGGCATGATAATGTTTAAAAGTTGCCCAGGAAGCTTGGCATGGTGGTGCACACCTGTAATCCTGGCTACTCAGGAGATTAAGACAAGAGGATTGAGAGTTTGAGGTCAGCCTGGGCAACCTAGTGAAGCCCTATCTCAAAATAAAAAAAAAATAAAGTGGGGTGAGGGTGTGGTACAGTGCCAAGGCTCTAGATTTAACCCCCAGTATCACCAAAATAATAATTAATAATAATAATAATTGGCCAAGGTACATCTTCCAGAAATAATGTAGCAAATAGAATATGTGGTTCATAGTCTTCTCAGCAATATAAATCTATTTCATCTTGAGTCATCACCCCACTCTCTTTTCTAAATAAAGCCCTGCGGCTTTCTGTCTTTTTATTAGAAATACATCATCTGACAAAGGTTTTACTGACAACTTTCCATACAGTCAAAAAAAGAGAAAAGAAACAATACAACACACAGTATCTCATACATTAGAATTCAACAATTAAAGATCTGAACACTAAAATAGAAACACTAAACTTGCTGGAAGATAAGTGAGGTAGAACTCCTGAAGACACTGGTGTAGGAAAAGATTTTATGAACAAAACCTCAGTTGCTCATGAACTAGAACAATCAACAAGTGGGATCTCTTCTTACTAAAAAGCTTCTGCACCACAAGAGAAACCACCAACAGAGCTAAGAGACAACTAACAACATGGGAAAAAATTTTTACCAGCTATTCCTCAGACAAGGGACTAATATCCAGAATATATAAAGAACTTAAAAAAATCAGACTCCCTCAAATATAAAGACCCAATTCAAGAATGGGCATCTGAAATGAACAGAAAATTTTCAGACAAAGAAGTAAAAGCAGCAAATAAATATATGAAAAAATGTTCAGCATCACTGGTCATTCGAGAGATGAAGGCGAAAACAATGCTGAGATTTCACCTCACTCCAGAAAGAATGGCTGCTATCAAGAAATCAACCAATTACAAATGCTGGAGGGGCTGTGGGGAGAAAGGAACCCTTCTCCACTGTTGGGAGTGCAGACTGGTGCAACCACTGTGGAGATCAGTATGGAGATACCTCAAACAACTAGGATTAGAGGTCCCATTTGATCCAGCTATTCCTCTGCTGGGTATCTTTCCAAAATAATTTAAAATATCATACCACAGCAATATACACACACCCATGTTTATAGCGGCACAGTTTGTAATAGCTAAAACTTGGAAACAGCCCAATTGCCCATCAACTGGAGACTGGATAAAGAAGATGTGTTTTTTCTATAAAAAGGAATACTGCTCAGCATAAAGAACAAGAAACTAGAGACATTGATAGCTAAATGGATGCACATCAAGGCCATACTCTTTATTTATTTATTTATTTATTTATTTGATTTTTTTTTTTTTTTTTTTTTTTTTTTTTCATTTTTTTTGGTACCGGGGATTGAACTTGGGCCCTTGTGCTTGCAAGGCAGGCCACAGAACTGCTGAGCCTAAATGCCCAGCCCGAGGCCATACTCTTAAGTGAAATAAATAGGATACATATGTGTAAATATAGAATAGTTTCTCTGGTATGAGAAAGTAAAAGTGTAAACAAGGATCAAAATGTATAATTGATGGTGTGGAATAGGAAGAAAAAGTCTAAAGGGGTAGGGGAAGTGGGAGGGATTGAGAAAAAGAAAAGATATGAGATAAGGAAAAAATGGAAACAAAGTCTCTATAAAAAAGCGAAGGGTTGAAGGGAGGGCAGGGGAATGGGAAAAAATAAGAACCAAGATACATTAAGTAAAAGTACAAGTTCCCAATGATGAATGTAACTGTATTGTATTCCTAAAAAGTACCAATAAACTTAATGAAAAAAATAAAAATAAATTTTAAAAAAGAAGTTAACATACTGCTAATTCTAAAAAATATTCCCCCAGAATCTAAGAATTTAGTTTTAGTGGTGGTCAGAAATTTGACCTCCACCAAATGAACCAAATTAATCCAGCAGAGAATTTAAACGAAGGGAGCCTGTAGAGAAGGAAGCAGATTATTTTTTCTTTTCTTTAAAGTTTATTAGTACATGTTTGAAGTACAGAATGATTACATTCATTGTGGTACAGGTACATAATACATTTAGATGATTCTTCCTCTTCACCTCCCAGTTCTATTTATCTCACTTAAGAGTACGGCCTCAATGTGCATCCACTTAGCTATAAATTTCTCTAGTTTCTCATTCTTCAATGTACAGGGAATCAAACTCTGGACCTTGTGCTTGCAAGGCAGGCGGCAGCACCTCTGAGCTAAATCCCCGGCCCTCAGATTCATTTATTTATCTTATAATTCCTTATACAGTTAATTGTCATATGTACAGATTAACAGGCAGACTAACAGGCCAAAAGGAATCTAATTTTAAAGTAACTGCTTTTGGGACAAAGATATGGTGCTGGCACAGGCAGCTTTGGGCTGGGCCACATCTGTTACTATCACTACCAGCATTTGCTCCTCCTCCGGCTTGCCCAGGGTCCTCGGCACAGACTGGAGGTACTGCTGCGAGAAGGGGCAGGGCGGGAAGGCATAGAGCATGCCGGTGCAGTCTCTGCCCTTGGACCCGCCCACAGGCAGGCTGATCACCCCTGCAGCCTCCTTGCCCTTCAAGTAAGAGATCAGGTTCCTGAGAAGCCGCCTCTGTAGGCCTGGCTCCTCGGGAGGCATCCCCTCGGTGCCAGCTCCACTGGGGACCGCCTGGGTGGCTAGGAGCACGGCATAGCCATCGGCGCTCCCCTGCTTGAGGCGTTGTGTGACCTCGTCGAACTTGGGCTGGTCCAGTCGAAGGCGCTGGGTAATCCTCAGCTGGGTCAGCTTGTTCCCGGAAGCCTGGTCTCTGAGGAGACCTCTGACGACTCCCTGGTCCCCCTCTAGGATATACATAGATGTTAGGAAGCAGCTGCTTTTCAACACGAGAAGCCCATTCCAACCCAGCTGCAATGTCTGAGCGCACTCTAAAAGAGTCTTCAGCTTTTTGGTCTCATGTTTTGGTTCTTCAAGAGACTTGGGCTCGGCCTCAGTGGTCCAATAATTGTCCTCTCTCTCTCTCGTCTTCTTCAGAAAGAAAGAGTCTGGAGCTCTGCGGAAGAAGTGGTGGCCCCACTCCTCCGCCTCACGTCTGCTGTTGCTGAGGGAGTTGCAGCCTGGCTCCCTGGTCACAGCATCAGAGCGGTTCTCCTCGTAGCCGTACTGCTGTCTAACACCCTTGGTCCATCTCCGCTCGGCAGAGGCGCGGGGGATTACCCTCCCGCGGTTGTCCTCCGCGCCGTCTTCCCAGGGCCTGGGCAGGACTCTGCCTGCTTCCGCTCGCCGGCGCTCACCCCCGCGACTGCGCACTGAGCGGCTGTAACCCTCCAGGCTGCTTCTGGGATCCGCACTCTTCCTGGGACCCATCCAGTCCGCGTCTAAAAAGGTCCGGTCTCGGTCCAAATACAGGTATCGGGGCGTATTATCTCGCACCCGCAGGTCCGTATCCAGGGTTGAGTGCCAGGTATAACCATCGGCGAGAAGGTCACAGTGCACAGGAAGGGCTGAGGGCTGGCCCTGCGGGCGATACCGCGTCTCCTCTGCCTTGGCGAAATCCACACGGAGCCGACGGTGTGGACCACCCACAGGAAAGCCCCTCATTTCAGCACAGGCGACCTCGGCTGCGTCCAGGGTTTCGAACTGGATGTAGGCAAAGTCATCTCCTTTAACGTGATCGATGGTCCGAATGATTCCAAAGCGATCAAACTCCTGGGCCAGCGCTGCCAGTGAGGTGTTGGGTCCCAGGCCACCCACCCAGAGGCGAGCGGTGGGGTTGGCCTTGCCGTAACCCACCTTAATGGGACTTCTGCCAAAGACGCGGCCTGACATGGCCATCTTAGCTCTTTGGGCCGCTTCCAGGCTCTGGAACCTCAGCAAGGCACAGGCTGCGCCCTGCCCTCTGGCAGGCCTCTTGACTTCCACCTCCTCGATAATGCCGTACTTCCCGAAGGCCCGGCACAGCTCCACCTCCGACACGGTGTGGTCCAGGTTTCCGATGAACAGGTCTCGGCTGGCCCACTGTTCGCCCTCGGCCATCAGGTCGCCCTTGTACCCGGCCGGGTCCCCGCAGGAGCGTCCGCGGTCGGAATCCAGGGCAGTATGGCGGGCGCGGGGCTCCTGCAGGGCCGGGGCAGCGTGGAGGGGGCGGCACAGCGGTTGCAGGCGCTCGGGCTCCCCCTTGAGCCTTCTGTCCTGAAGCACCGGCAGCGGCCGCGGCTGCGGCAGCAGCGGCAGCGATCGGGTCAGAGAGGCCTCGCCCAGGTTCACGGAGGACGCGCGCCCCAGCTAGGCGAGGGCAGCGGCCACAGATGCAGGCTGGCTTTCCGAAGCGCTAGAACCGATGGAAGAGCCGATCCTCGCGGTCGGTGCGGGCTCAGACTACTGAGGAGCAGAGTCTTAATATTTCGGCAAAGTGCTGAGCTGGGGCCCGCAGGTTCAGTTTCAGGGCAGCAGGTTCTGCAGGGACAGTGAGGCCAGCGACAGTAAAGACAGCGACTGTGGGAGCGACGCGCCTGTCGGTCTCATTTGTCCCTGGGCAGGCTGTAGGGGGAGGGCAACATCTAGCATGCCCCTCCCCCTTCCTCGCCTTTGCTCCGCCTTGCACCCTGATGGACTGGGACAGTTTGCTTCAGTGTCCTCCCTGGATATCAAACTGCCACTGTCCACTCCATACTGAGCGCAGTAGGGGCCCCTCCCCTACCCCAGCACCTGGGAGTGGTTAAATTCAGGAAGGAGGGACTCTAGGCCCCTAATTTGCATACCCAGCATCCTTAGCAAGCCTTCCTGAAGATTCTCTGGTTTCAGCCCTCATCCTTACTGAAACAGCCCTGCAAGCAGTTACATAAGTGATGCCTCAGGCACTTCTTGAGTTTTAGTACAGGAGGGCTCTTTCCTATGTACTATTAGTTCTACACGTCTTATTGAATAAAGACTTGCTTTAGTGTTCCTGTAAATCTGCTCATGATTTATTTCTCGGGTAGTGCGGGCTCCAAAAAATGTCCTAAACAGAGCTGTTAATGCTGAAGTGCTCCGGAGACCAGCAGTATTCTGGCACTGGTCCGCTAGCCCAGTGTCCAGGGCCAGTGTCCAACTGCCAATGGCAGAGACAAGCTGACATGGACAGTGCAACTGGCAGCAGCAGTGACCAGCAGCTGGCCATGTCAGCTGTTGGTGTTCAGTACGGCCTGGTGACATCAGAACTACTAGAAGAGGTGCACTTGGCCGATTCACAATTTCCATCTGAATTGAGCAAAGGAACCCTAAGCTGACTGGCAACACCAGGCCAGATCTATTAACCATAAAAAAGAATTCTTCAGGGGTAAGGGGAAAAAATGAGAATCAAGACTTGTCATGTAGAGGTACAAGATCTCAACAATGAATGTAACTCTACTGCATTCCTAAAATGCACCAATAAACTCAATTAAAGCTGGAAAAAAAATTCTTAAAGACTTGGAAATTTGACAAGGTGGGCACACACTTTGAGAGGCCCTTCACACACAAGGCTATCTCCATACATAGACTTCTGCTTATTGCAGATCTCAGAAAAGCACTTAATTTGTCATTTTAGATCTAACCTAAAGCACAGTATTTAGGTTACCTTTTAAATCTCCATAAAATAGTCAAAAAAATCACATCTAATTTTTTTGTTGTTGTTGCTGCTGCTATTTTGATCTTACAGGGGGGAAAAACATAGGCAAAGAAAAGAATATAATTATCACCTGTATACATTGAGTGAAAGAATGAGACTGTAGAAGTGGTAAAAAATATATATACAAAAAGTTGGCAAGATGACTCAGAAACAGTCCCTGAAATAGCTCAGCTTCTGATTATGGTGTGGCAGAACTGCCAACAACTAACTAATAGAATAGAATAATTAATCGCTTGGGACTAGAGTAATTTAAAAGTGCCTGTTGGCAGATATGGGTACTTCCAAATTAGGGGGGTCACCTGATAGTAAATTTCAGGGTAGCAGCTACTCTTGTTTTCTTGTGATCCCCTCAGTTTCTCCTCCCATCCGCCTGCCTCGGCCCCCTGGGGCCACACCTCTGGCTGGGCTACAGAGACCTCTGCGCTTCTCCTCTCTTCACTTGTGCGAGCCAGCTGCTTAGGGCTATTCCCGCTTTAAAGTCACCCACCTGCCATCTTATTTTTTTACTTTGCTTTTGCTCTCTAAACTGGAGGTGCAAGTCTGCCTGCCTAACCTGTCCTAACCTGTCTTTTATGTTACCCCTCCCTCACCTAAGTTTTGATGTTCTCTTCTTGGTAGCTTGCCTCAGGGAAGCCGGCAAGGGAAGAACAACCAATGTGGGGAGGTTTCAGGGCTCAAGAAATCTTACCAAATTCACACCACTGGGCCTTGGGTGAAATTCCTAACTCCCCAGAAAACCCTGGAATATGTACTCAATTTTTAAAAGAGCTTACAGCTCACCTATCCTCCCAGTGTGGGCAGGAAAGGCAACTCCACATACCTACTGTGTTTCCTACTGAGACCTCCCTCCCAGCCCTTAGTCTACAGCTCTAATGGGAATCAAGGATGAAGTTACTAGCATACTAGCATGCCCTCTGGCATCATTTTGTGAAGTAACTAATTTCCATTTCTGAGGACCTCCAGACTGGATGCATCCTTTTTCTAAGTATGCCTTACTCCAGATACTCTGTAGAGAAATGATTTTCTCCAGATGTTTTTTCACATACCCCACCACAGAGCACAGACTCCAAAGTCAGGCCATCTGTCACTTGCTTAATACCTGAGTGACCGCAGGCACAACACTGAATCTCTAGGCCTCAATTTCCTCACCCACAGGGTTGTGGTGATGTTTCAAAGAGATGATCCACTTAGCATGGATCCTGGGACACAGTAAGAATTGACACCAGGAGTTTTATCAATATCTGGTTGCGACAGTCTAGCTCCTAAAGGGCAGTACCTGGCCCAGAAGGGGGCTTCCTGGACTTGGCTCCATCACTGCAGCTGTGGTCCACTTGGATTGTCTGTCACTGTGCCAACTCAGTTGTTGAACGTTTCCAATCTTAATGTTACTTGTACTGTGTGTGCTAAAACCAAAGCACACAGAGAAATGTGTACAGATGGGTCATTAAAGCACTGGAGCAAAGAGAAAAGATCACCACGAGCGAAAATGTTGCAAGGTTAGGAGGGAAAAGAACGGCAAAGAGACTTGTCTGCAGCAGGATCACAATGACTTCCGGCACAATAGAGGAGTCTAAGGAAGATTACTGTATACACTTCCTGTAACTGCTTGAACAGATTACCACAAACGGAGGTACCCGAAATCAACAGACCTTACTCTCTCCCTGCATTGGAGGCCAGAAGGTCTGTGACCTCTCTGAAGGATTTAAGAAAGAATCCTTCCTAACTAATTCTTCTGGTGTGTGCTGGCTGGAGGGAGTGCGTTGGTTTGGGCAGCACAGTCCATCTCTGCCTTCCTCTTTACATCTGTTCTGCCGACCTCTTGTCTCCCTGAAACCCCATTCTTTCTCCTTGCCTTTCTCTTATAAAGATGCCCATCACTGGACCTGGTATAAGATCACCCAAAATCCAGTGGTCTTATCTTGAGATCTTTAACATCATTATATTGGCAAATAACTTTTTTTCCAAATAAGGACACATTCATAGGTTCTGAAGATTGAGATTTGAACATTTGTTTTCTTTCTTTTCTGATTTTTTTTTTTTTTTTTTTTTTATTTGGTACTGGGGATCGAACTTGGGTCCTTCCACTTATAAGACAGGCAGCAGAACCACTGAGCTAAATCCCTGGCCCTCTTTTCTGGTTTTTTGAGACAGGGTCTTATTATGCAGCTTAGGCCTCAAAGTCAAGGTTATCCTCCTGCCTCAGTTTCCCTAGTGCTAAGATTACAGGTGTGTGCCACCACACCAGGCTGAGATTTGAATATATCTTTCTGGCAGACATTATTAAATCCACTATTAGTATATAAAAAAGCAGAGGCCTGTGAGCAGAGGCATAGGAACATTGTGAATGAATTTTGTGAATATTCATGACCATTGTGGTTTATATGTGTCTACATTGTACTTGATGATTTTCAGGAAACTATAATTCTGTGACATTCAGTAATATGGACCTGAATGTTACCCGGACATACTCCTCTACACTTTTCTCTTGCTCTGGATCTAGACCAGAATCATCTTTGTCTTTGAGCTTCTAGAAGCCACTGGCATTCCGTAGTTCAGAGCCCCGTATCACTTCCACATCCTACTCCACCTTTCCATCTCCCTTCTCTGACTCTGGCCGTACTCATTCCCTCTTACAAGGGCAGTTCTGATTACCTTAGACCATCCAGATAATCCGAGATAATCTCCATATCTCATAATCCTGAATTTAATCCCACCTGCAAAACCACCTTTCCATATAATGCAACACAGTCAGGTTCCAGAGATTAGGCTGTGGTCCTCTTCGGAGGACTGTTATTCCTTGGACTATTTTGAGGAATTTGGGAATTAATGGAAAGTTTGAAGCAAGGAGTGAAATCAGCAGAATCCAGATGACCAAAGCAAGGACTGTTAGGCGGAGAGTCAGATATTAGCAGATCTAGAGATGGACACCGAGGGCTACATGAAAGCAGAAGACCTGATTTTTTACCCCTTTTCTCTTCATTTTCTTAATCATTAGCTACAGATAAAATGCAAAGTCTGTGGTTTCAAACCTTAGCCCAAGAGTAATTAACTTCATCAGAGTGTACTGATAAGGTCTGGGACTTGCACAAATTTCAGACCATGGTGAAGGATTAGAGAAAACCTCAAGGTCTCAAAATAAACCAAACAGAAACATCCCACCTAGGGAATAAACAGGAAACTTCTTCCATCAGAAGCTGGTCAAAAAAGCCCATTTTCCTTGTAAAACATCAATGACCTCGAAAGAAAGGAAATTATACTCCTTGAAAGACCCAGTCAATCATATAAATGTGATCTGAGATCTCATTCAGTGCAACTGCTGTTCTGACACTTGCCTACCCTTCATGTTTGAAGGTGTATTCTATCTAATGCTCTGAAAACCTATCATTTTGCAATAAACTCTCACTATACTCCGTATGATGCCCTGTGTTCTGACTAATCTTTCATCAAAGACAGAGAACAAACACCTTCACTGGAAGAAAGATTGCCTCTTTAATGGTGCTGGGAAAATTGGCATTCCACATGCCAAAGACTAAAACTAGACCCATATCACTCACCATGAACTAAACTAACATCGAAATGGATCAAAGACCTAACTATAAAAACAGAAACACTAAATCTGTTGGAAGACAGAATAGGTAGAAATCTTGAAGACATTGGTGTAGACAAAGACTATATGAACAAAACCCCAATCACACAGGAAATATCACAAAGAATCAACAACTAGGATCAGCAAAAGAAACCACCAACAGAGCAAAGGGACAACCCACAGAGTGGGTAAAGATTTTTGCCAGCTGTCCCTCAGACAAAGGACTAATATCCAGAATATATAAAGTACCCCAAAAAATCAGGCCCCCCCCAAAATTTACAGATCCAATCCAAAATTGGGCATCTGAAGTGAGTAGACATTTCTCACATGAGGAAATAGAAATGGCAAATAAATATATGAAAAAATGTTCAACATTACTGGTCATTCAAGAGATGCAAATTAAAATAGCACTGAGATTCCACCTCACTCCAGAATGAATGGCTGTTATCAAGGAAGCAACCAATAATAAATGCTGGAGGGGCTGTGGGAAAAAAGGAACCCTGCTCCACTGTTAGCAGGAGTGTAGACTGGTGCAACCACTGTGGAAATCAGTGTGGAGATAACTCACAAAACTAAA